TTTCTTGTCCATTTGTCACTTTCATAAAATTGAACCATATTCTTCACTGGAATTGCTAACATCTATAAAGATTTTCATAGAAAAAAAATTTGTTTTTTTAAACAAAATCATTTTTTCTTTTACTTACATGATCAGTTTTATCCCAATCGATTTTCACTAATGATGAAGCAGTTCTAAATAAATTTACATAAATAAAAATAACAAAATCTTTCATAAATATTTTACTCAATATCATTTGATTTTGTAATCACATTAAATTGTTTAACTAATGTTTGTTTATCAATATTAAATACACGAACTGAACCATCACAACATGATGTTGCCTTAGAATAACAAAAAAACAAAGATTTAATATATTTTTTTTCATTTAAAGAACTAGTATCTCACCAGCCATCGTTTATCTTCATAAACATTTAATGCAAGTATTGGTGCTTGATGTCCATCAAAATATTTCATTTTATTTGAATCATCATTTAAATTCATCATGACAACTTTAAAATCTCTAAAAATAAAAAATAAAGAAAATTAATTTCGGGTTTTTTTCTATTTAACCTTGTTCCAATAAATAGAGATGAATTTGATAAACAAAGTGCTGAAACTGGTTGAGTAAAATGAACAAGACTTGGTAATGAATCACCATGAGGAAATGATCGAACTTCAAGTTCATTTCTATTTGTGCCAACAAATAAATGATATTTCTTAAAAAATAAATATAATATTATTAGTTTTTGTTTTCTATAATTTTTCAAAATAACTTACATGTACAGCTAAGCAATGACATTGATCAGCACATCTTATATGTTCGACTTGATCTGTTTTTGTTTCAAAAACATGAATATCGCCATCTTGACCACATGTTATAAAATGACTAAAATAAATTCAATTAATATTTTTTAAATGTAAAAATAAAATAAACGAACTTTCCGTCTTTTGTGTAACAAATATCAGTTAGACCAGGTGTTGAATGGGCCGAAACAACAGATAACATTTGAAATAAGATTTATACTAGAAAAAAGAAAAACAAAGTTTCATATATACAATATTGTACGAGACATCTATTGATTCAAATGATATCTATATATTTAACAATAGAATGAATTCTTTATCATGGATTATTCGTTCATTCTGACGTCATCGCTTTTTTTCTCTTTCTTTTATATCGAGCAATAAGATAAATGAGATTCGCCTATATAATATATCTTCGATGATTATTTTAAAATGGTGTAAACAAATTGAAAGACAAAGAATAAAAATGAAATTAAAATAAAATTACTCAATATAAATCAATTAATTTCTTTCATATGCTCTATATAGTATATTATTAAATAAAACCTAATTTTCCTCTAGTACATTTATGTTAAAATGAGATCGATTCGCCAGTTTCTTAAAAAAATGAACGATCTTGTTATTTATTCATACTGCAATAAATAATATTTATATTTAAAACCTGATCACCATTTATTAGTAAAGAAAAAAAAAGATTATAATATTTTAAGAATCAGAAAAAGAATATTTAGAAAGTTTGTTATTATCATTGATATAATCTTGTTTCATTTGTTCGACATATTGATTATAAAATGTTCCATCATCATTATTTTTTCGAGCAATCATTTTCAATACTTTACGTTGACATGATTGAAATTTTTCTGTATTATCACGATCACAAAAATAACCATAAAATTCATTATCTGAACAAACCATTTCCATTTGTTTTTTCCATTTTTTTGTTCGATCCATATGACTTTGAATATCAATTAAAAGTTCGAAATATTTTGGATCAACTGCTTGTCCTAATAAATTCATTTTATTAATAATACGTCGACATGATGATTTTGATGTTCCTTTCATTAAACATCGCATATTAATAATTTCATCAATAAATGTAACATAGAGAGTGTCTCGATCAGTTGGACAACATTCATAAATCATAACACATTTATCATCATATAATTGACTATGAAGTTCAGATGGAAATCGTTTAAGATATTCTGTATGTAATTTTGTTATATCATTTAAATCGGTTTCGATTGTTGATGTTGAATTTAATCCATTGATAGTAACAATCATCCCAATTAAAAGAAGACCCATATAAATCGACATTGTAAAATTTTGCCTAAAAAAATATAACATATACGATATACTTTAAAAAAAACGAGTTATCAACTTACGTCAGTTATTAATGGTGAAAACTTGAAAATAAAAATTTGCGAATGATGTAGATCTAGAAGAAAATATTCCATATATATATATATATATGTCTATAATAGTAAACAAAGAATAGATGAATAATAAAGAAAAGAAGAATAGATCATAGCAGTATAATTCATTGTTTTACTAGTCACATATGACTAAAGAATACATGTCGACTATTAATTACATGTATAAACGAACAAGAAAAGAAAAAAAAGATATTATCTTATTCATAATAATAATGTGTCTACAGTAAGATGTTTCTTAGGATCATAGGGTTAACGAGGTCAGTTTTATGTATCCCTTCTATTTCTTTTCTTATATGTATGCTGTTTTCTTTCATTTTACGTAATATCACGTAAATGATTCACTTGTATCTTAGTATATTTTATAAACTTTCTTTTCGTATATATTGTGGAAATAGTTGCAATTTCGTTATGAATATAAGTGATCCGACAGAGATTTAAATTTTGAAAAAACAAATCTAAACATAGTTTTAATAAAATATTCGAATACAATGGTTGTGCAAATTCACTTGAAATTGTTATATTTTTGAAATGATTATAATAGATTATTTTATTATTCTTCATTGATATTTTGTAAACAGTATATCAGCTAATGCAAAAATCGAGTAATAATTGAAACTTATGTATGTAATACTTGAATTATTTATACTCGTATCATTTCAATGACCTGCATAAATCTTGAATACTTTTATCTGAGTTCTGTTTTTCTCTTTTTTTACTATCGATTTCGAAAAAACAACTGATAAGTATAGATTGAGAACTATAAATGTGTAATGATATAAAAACCTACACCCATACTCACACCTCAAAATAGATCGAAGAAAATATTTAGGAAACTAAACGTTCTCAATTCTTTTCAATGAGTTCTTTTTTTATTTAGAAAAATTCATTCTTCAACATATTAAATTCTGTTTTATGACAATTTTTTAGTATGCACTTGGCAACATTTATTGAGCTGCTGATAAGAATTACTAAATGATACAATAAAAAGCTATTGTCTGCACATATATATGAATAAAAAGAATTGAAGATAAATATTGTACGTATCATTCAATCCTTTCAACATATAAAATTTACCATCACTTCGATGTAAAGAGTATCTTACTACAGAAATATATTGGTAGATATTAAAATTATGTATATTGAGTACTTATATGATATGAAATTGGTTATATTATAATAAGACAAAATGAGATGATTGAGATGTATGTGCGAATCCTTTGACGCTTTTGCACAAATACTTTTTTTGCGCATAGACATTTCTGTTCATGATACTACTAAATCGATAACTATGCAAAATCTGAATTAATTAGCTGTTCAAAGCGTCGCTTAGTTGTATACTAAGAATAATAAATATTGAAAATATGTTCCGATTCATCTTCGTTTATTTAGATTAGCTTCTGAATGGCACTGCAATCATCGAAACGTGCGCGTGACTATGGACTGCGGTTCGGTGTACTTCCGACTGGACCACTAAATATGATTACTGATGTGCCAGGTGTTCGAGTAGGCCAGGTAACACTCAATGAGGAGTATCACATACACACAGGTGTCACAGCTATCCTACCTCATGATGGAAATCAGTTTCAAGAGAAGAGTCCAGCAGCTATCTACATTGGTAATGGTTTTGGCAAGCTAGTAGGGTATACGCAAATCGAGGAACTCGGGACACTTGAGACGCCAATCATCTTAACAAATACACTTAGTGTCCCAACGGCTGCTGACGCTCTAATTGACCATACGTTAACACAGCCGGGTAATGAAAAGGTTCGCTCAGTCAATCCACTTGTGGGAGAGACGAATGATGGATTTCTTAACGATATTTGTGGCAGACATATTTCAAAAGAACATGTACTAAATGCCATTCATCAAGCAACAACTGGTTATGTAGAAGAAGGTAATGTCGGTGCTGGTACAGGTACCGTATGTTTTGGTTTCAAAGGTGGTATTGGAACATCATCTCGAAAACTACCACCGTCGCTGGGTGAGTTCACCCTTGGAGTTCTCGTCCAAACGAACTTCGAAGGCGTACTACGTGTCGCTGGACTACCTGTAGGTATTGAACTGGGTTCTTATTCTTTTAAAGAAAACCTTGATGGTTCATGTATGATTATTGTCATTATCGACGCTCCATTGGATGCACGTAATCTCAAGCGTTTGGCTAAACGGGCCTTCATGGGACTGGCGCAAACAGGTGGTATTGGATCAAATGGCAGTGGTGATTATGCTACTGCTGTCTCAACTGCATATCGTATTTCACACGAATCATCGAGTTTATTTGATGAAGTCAAATTATTACGTAACGACAATGTCTCACCTTTGTTCATGGCTGCAATGGAAGCGACAGAAGAGGCAATAATTAATTCGCTCTTTGCCGGACAAACACTTACTGGCTATGAGAGACACGAGGTGCATCAATTACCTGTGGACAAAGTCGTTGAATTACTAAAAAAGTTGACATAGATATATGAATCTGTCTTGTAAAACTATTGAAATGATATAAATACAGTAGTTTTCTACATTTTACAACTCTAATAAAAGTACCGAAGGGTGTCGGCAGGTGATGCTGTAAAGAAGTTGTACACTCACACACCCTCAAGATTTATATATACATGTACAAGTAAGATTAATGAGATAATAAATATATAGAACAAAATGTATATTTTATGTATTCTTATGGAAACATACAACGATCAACAGAAATGACAATAATATTCAAGATTAACAAACAAAAAACTACAGTTTCAGATAAACCACATGTCATTAGCAACTTTTGGATCAAGTATCATTAATTGCGTCTTAATATCATCCAGTGAATAATTCTGAGGAGATTCACTATCGTCGACATTACTAAAAAATATCGAATAAATTCATCAACTATGAGTATAAATTAGTTGTAATTTCATACCTTTCCGTTTCATCATCATCAGCAGCATCATTATTATGAGCATCATTACCAAATTTAAGTGTTCGTGATGCATAAGCTGACAAATGAGCATAATGAACAGGAGCTGGAATTGAGACTGATTTTGTACAACGCATATCCGTATGACAAAGCTAAATAATTTTATCTTTGTTTTGCAAAATTATTTCATCAATAAAACTTACCCAATATGTCAGTTGTTGAATATCATCACTACTAAATCCAATATCATCATGAAGAACATGATAAAGTGTTGGTCGTAATGTACCCTTTCTATAACAAAAAACAATGTAATGAATATGACACAAATGAGGAAAATACACGTACATAGCAGTTTGTGAACATAGATAGAAATCAAATTGAGATGGATGAGTAATATCTTGATCTATAACAGTTCCAGCTTGAACATTCATTGTTTGCTTACCATCATATAAAAAGAAACGAGTATTATGACGTTTCTTTACGACAATAAATGTTAGTTGTGGTAAAGGTTTGTTCCCATAAACAACTAATTATTGAATAGAAAAAAAGAAGATGTGATGTTTTATTCTGAAATTTTGAAAACTTACCACGACATGCAGCTTTTATTTTAGTAACTTCATTATCTAGAACTTTTTGATAATGTCCTGTATCAACACCATCTCGATAGAAAACAATTTTATTCGGTAAACGACCACCACATGTACCAGCAAATACACGTAATAAATCCGCAACCATCTTATCTAATTCTTTGATTATTTCAAGTGAACAACGGCCTTTCTTCGGATATTCTACGATACAATACATAGTTCTAAAGAAGAATCATAAAATGAGAAAAATATGCATACGTTCACAGAGTCGTGCAGCATATAAACTATTTGTTGGATCACGAGAACCAACGACAGCTGCAATCGATGGAACTTCTGTTGAACAAGTCGAATGAGTCACCTGAAAAGAGAAATATTTTGTTTTAAAGTTATAATTTATTTCATATCAATACTTACATCAGCTCCGAAGAACATAAAAAGATCTTCTTTTGTAGATCGACTCAGAGCTAATTTAGTATTAACTACACTATTGATTCCACCTAATTTTCCATTAATTTTCTGACTTATATTTTCCACATCTAAATGATACAAAATACAAACTATATTTCATCATTATAATAGAAAAACAACTTACACATATGAAGTTTTTGTAGATTATTTTCAAGAGCTATTAAATCAACACACTGTGTTACTAAACCTAATCGTTGATGACCTAATTGTTTAACATAATCGTAGACATCACTAGGAACCTCATTTAGAATGACAATAGCCAATTGCCAACGATTACCACTAGCTTCAGCCATACCATTTCTAATATCATCTTTTCTCGAAGTTTTTATTATTTGTGCTAATTCGGATCGAATGACAAAACCATTACGTCTAAGTAACTGAAATGAAAAAGTAATATAAATATGAATTACACATAAAATATAACTTACATTTGGGAATTGATCTTTAAAACTTTGAAGAATATATTTAACTCTGTCGTCATATGTATCACCAAGATAGATTATTCCCCATCGTTGAATTTCAGGTGTCGTATAAAACCAATTTCGAATTTTCCATTTACCACAATCGACTTGTTCAATAGCATCACCTCGACCTTGTCGAGCACGATATTTTACTTGTGGAGGTGAAAGAATACGTGCTATATATAAAAAAAATATGTTTAAATGAGAAGAAAGAAAGAAAGAATAATATACCTTTAATTTCTAGCATTTCTTTTGTATTCACATTGATATTTAATTCTTTGAGATAAGAATCTTTATCAAACTCACGATTATGAACAATATTCATAATTTGATCGTATCGGCTCTGTGGATTAATAATTGATTTCGAAGAAACTAGAGACCGTTGAGTTGTATCTAATGGTTTTAATGAACGTTGCCATTCTACAAGCTAAAATAAAAGTATTGGTCAGAAATGCTGTCAAAAATCACTTTTTGAATTTATCGAGATACATACTGTAACTAATTCCATAGGTAACCAATTTGCTCTTTTCGAAATACCATTTGTACCATCAATACAAGGTAAATATGGATACTTTAGTTTTTTATTGTATTTTTCACTAAAGTAATCTGCTACGCTGATTCTTTCTGTTGTATTTTCATCAGTTCCATCACGAGGAAATGTAAGTTGATTAGCAGGAAGACCAAAACCACGTAATTTATAGCGAATTATATGACCAGCATGGTTTGTCTCAACTAGAAAAAAATAACAAACTATTTGTTAAGTACGAAAACATAACAAAATATAATCATACTAAATAAATCTCGAACGATTCTTTTGAAAGCTCTTAATTCATGTTCTGTCAAAGGATGATTAATAATATCTTTTCGTAAATATTTGCAAGTAAAATCGACAAAATTCAATGGCATATAAAAACAAGTGAATGTCAAGTTTATATTCAATGTTGGTCCAGATCGTGTAAGAAACAATGCTTGATAGAAACCTTTACCCATACCACGACCATCCTCTAGACAAAAATAAAAATTCAATAAAAATAATTTCCTATAAAATAAAAAGAGAATACTAACTGAGATCTTCAAGTATTTGTCTTCGATCATAGAACTGATTTTTAACAGCAACTAATTCATTTCGTGCACGTTGTTTAAATAATGTTTCAATTATTCGAACTGTATCATGTGGTCTAGTTGAAGTTTTCTTTTGAATAAAATCAAAAATATTTCCAATTTTATCTTGACGAACAAGATTTAATATAGTTAATTGAAATATTTTTGCTTCACCATCTCTTTCCAATTTAACTTGAATAGGTTGATTTATATCCGGTAATAATGCTCGACTATATAAAGTTTTACCTTCATCATACCTAAGCGAAAACAAAGAAATAATTCTTTCCATTAAAAAGTAATAAATAATACTTACCATACAGCAGGAAAATCTTTCTTTTGTTTAGTAATGGTTTGTATTACTTTCCATCGATCATCTTTACGTGCAAGACGCGGTTTACCATTACGGTCAATGATCGCAATGTCAATATCATATTGATTAATAATTGCATCACTAATTGTAACAGGAAAATGGTTTGTATAAATAGATATGGCTTGACCTTTGGAACCACCTTCATCAGGACGACGAATTGGAGTTAATACAGCTGAATCAGGAACTGCAGAACATAATATTCGACGACGATTTCCCTGACGAACACTTTGAGATCGACTATCTTTTGCACGTGTTGTTATTGTTGTTGTATCAACCGACATATTTCTCATTGAATCATTCAAACTTGGAAATGCACTATGAGAACGTTCAGTTGTACTGGATGGAATACCCCATACTGATTTAGGTATAGCAGATGGTTCAGATGGATTTGAAACTGGAGTACCCCATACTGGTCTTCGTGGTGTAGGAGCAGCTGTTTTATTTGTATCTTCTCGACCTACGAATAGCAAAAAAAAGAAATTATCAATAATTCCAGACTATAAATCTTACCTTTTCTATTTTCACGTTGTGCCATAACTGTTTATTTCGAGAAACAAGAATAATGAATAGAACGTTTTATGTAAAAACTAATTATTGTCTAAGATATGAATAGTTCGCAAGTAAAAATAAGTTTATCCGTACGTAGACATCGTTTCTTTATATACCGCAAAAGACTGGGTTTTTTTGGTGGAGAAAAATGCATTATACCCACATTGAGAAAAAAATGCGTCATTATGTCAACATCAACGACACAGACATTAACGCCAAAATAACGTTAAAAAAACAAAAAAGAAGGACTGAAAAAAAGTAAGAGTGTAGAATAATATGAGAATATATTTTATATATACTCATTTTTTGATATTCTCAAAAATAATATTAACTAAATTGTTACTTCAGTAATCATAATTAAATTGTAAAGCATTCATGCTCCAACTTCTTCCATATTCTAGCTTATTCTATGAAGTCACATTAGGTAGTAAAAAGATGAAATATAGATTTCGATTAGTAGAATAAGCAACCGTATTCGATCGCTCAAAATTTTGTCTGCGTTGAAAACATCTATTGCAACTACAAAATAGACGGTCTTGTATAGGTTATAGAGATTTTTCATGCTGTATCTTATGGTTTAATCTAATTTTTAACAAGAGACACTAAATAATAATAAAAACTGAAATAGAAAATACGATAATTTAATTTGATTCACTTGTCATGAAGTTATCATATGAATATTGGTTAAAAAAAACTATTAATGATTTAATTTGCATTTATAATCATCTTCTATTGGATGTGCTTCTTCAAATTGTTTTGCTAGTTTATCACTTATTTTAAATTGACCAATTATTATTTTAATAGTTAAATTTTGTGAATAATCAGATGAGGATAGAACATCAATCGTTTTATAAATCGGTGACATTGTGAAGAACAATTTTTAATCTAACATTGAAAACTTTTAGTGAAAGAATGATTTTTTAACAAAAACCAACATTTTTGGTTTATAATAAGACTACAACTCTCAATTATTATCAAATCAAAAGGAAAAAGAATTCATTAGAAATTGGTATTTGTCTATATCTTACTCTTTACAGCTAGCACTTATATTATATATTTGATACATGAAATTTTTCTCTCTTCTTGTTGATATTTTTTACTTTTCTGTTTCCTTGAAGGTATAGGTGGTTCTTGGCGTACCCTCACCACAGTTTTTTCGTTAAAAAACAGGAGTTGATCAGGAAACTTTCTCTCGAAACCAAAAGAAAAATACGACAGTGTCCCGTACTTTATTTGTGAAAAAGCAAAGCTTTTCACCCGAGAATACATCCTATCACGTCCAATTCCGGTGCAGATCTGGTTCAAGGAATGTCCAACATTGCGGAATAGAATCACTGTTCTAGAAATGGAAACTTTTCAAAAGCCTTCTGTGTCGATTCTGTTTCTGATCACAAAAAACGAAAATACAGCATAAATTTCTAGAAGAGTTGGTAGCAAAGAGTACAAAATACAGGTTATTTTATTATTTGTTGTGAGATTCACTTTAAAAAGATGGTTTCTGTTAGATGTATCATACATGCTCTACGAAACTACGTCCATGCGCAAAAGTCTTTCTTCTCTTCGTTTCTTTGCTAGCATACTTTGTATAAAATTTATTGCCGAGTAAAGATATAACTTAAGAGTTTTATTTCAGTATAGTATGCAAATCACAATACAATAAAACTCTGAAGTCATATCTCTACTTGGCAATAAATTTTATACAAAGTATGATAGCACATAAATAAAGAGGGAGGAGAGACTTTTGTCCACAGATGTATCTCATATTTGGGTTCATTTTTCTATAAAAATTGTTTTTCGCCTGTTTCACCAGAATTTTTTCGTTACAATATGTGATTTCAATCGATCGGTCTACCGACCAGACCGGTTTACCATTTCGCAACCGACTCACCGTACTGATCCATATCATGTCGCAAAAAGTGAGTATTCATAGAAACAAAAGCTGAAGACGATTAAAATATTTCATTTTACAAAAAATATACAAGTATCGTGTGAATACACGGTATGAAATCGAGCTTTGTAAATCAGAACTTGGATTTTTTCAAAAATGAAATCCTATTATGCGACCAAAATCGTTGCGACTACATCTGATATTCTGTAATTTCAAAAATTTGAATATGATGCTGGTTTTGTACCTCCTGGATTGCTACTATATATATCTAGCTAAGGTAATCCCTCCCTTCTTCATATTAGAAGTCCTCATGTAGTTCTTATATGTCCACCATCTGAAGTTTCTGGAGGGAGGCTTCTATTAAGTCCAAAAAAATTTTCATAGACTGTGACTACAAAACCAATGTAATTATTGTATACAAGTTTTATAAGTACGTATGTTTCTATTAGTAACTGAAACTCGTCAAATATTCAATATCACATGAGTTAGTCTTGGATATGACATCAAATTTTCTTTAAATAAAATCTAAATAAAAGTAATACAAATCTATATCGTTCGATTTCGAATTTATTTTATTCTGTTTTAAAGTACTGTAGCACCATATTTATGAGATTAAAAGTAAAACATATGCGTCGCTTTACATAGAATGAAACAAACGTAAACGAAAAAAATATTTTTCTTCGTTCATTCATTAAATACAAAGTATTTTTATTTTTCTCTTCTCATGAATAACTTAATGGTATGGCTATAATTATATCAATCGTCACTAGAGTCCGTCAAGTCTAACAATCTTTTGACCCGAACCTGCACCTGTATTACCGCATAGTCATTTTTATAAAGCTTTGCGACGTAAATTTTTTAATCGTTTCGTTAATTCTACAATGAGAGTGTGTAAAAATCCTATTCGAGTTTTGCTCTTATTAGAGAAAAATTCAGTCGCTATTTTTCACTGAATATTTTGTAATCGTAAACAGATATATTGCTTTTTTATTTTAATGATTAAAGTGGAATTATGTTTAAGTAGATGGTTAAAAACTAAGAAGATCAGAAAATTATTTTTATTGTATAATTATCATTTTTTTGTTTTATGGATCAAAAATAAATAAATGAGTTAATTTTGATGATGAATTTGATAATAAAGAAACGAAAATTTTTTTTTAAATAGTCATATCATAATTATAAGAGTGAGTATCATGAAAAGAGAAAGAAAAAACAAGAGCGAAAAACATGTGAGAAAATACAGAAGAGAAAAATGTCGAATGAAAAAGAAAGGCCGTGATACACATCTAAAATAGAATGCTTGAATAATTTCTCTTTTAAATGGCTTTTGCCATTAAATGTATAAAGTACTTACGTGAAGATATACAGTCACTCTTTCTTATAAGGATGAAAACAAAGTGTCTCATCTTGTTTCATTTCGTGTTCACTTATTTTCCATATCAATTTCAAACAGTTTTATATTTGGGGAATCTTTAGATTATGGCCTTTCGAATAGTATATTTTTTGTCGTTTTTCTCCAATATTTTTATAGATAAATCACCGATTTACGATAAGAAACTCTCTATTCATTATTATTAAGTATCAGTTTTCTAATAACGATGTAAGTTTATCTTTCGACCTTGATAATGTTTTTAAGCAATTTTTCGATTATAATGATGTCGATAATATTTTTGTTTCGTAAATATCATTTAATAGCAATTATTCGTTCTTATCTTAGATGGATGATTTCTTCATAAAAATATTGGAGAAAAAACGACGAAAAATATATCATTAGAAAGACCGTCATCGAAATTTTGCATCGTAATTTGGAGATGTCTCCTATCATTCATCTAAACCTAATGAAATAAAAATTAGAACGTTCTGACAAGCTATACGACACATGTTCTATATAAAAGTACGTTTATTTCTGTGAGATTAGATTCATTTAATAAAGTTTCTAGGAACTTTCTAAATATTATTCCTCATTGAGAAATTTGACCTTTTGCTGTGGATATTTTCGTAATTTATTGTAATGGAAATTATAATAAATTAATACTTAATGATCTATATTATTTTTTTAAACTATTCTAAATCAATATTTTATTTAGATGAAAATTTCTTCGACGAATTTACCTCCTGAATTACCACCCGACACTAAACCACTTCAACATCAAATTGGTGGACACTTCTACGGAAATCCAAAGACAAAATTCGGTATATTACAGCGATGTTCTACAGGTGTTGTTCTCAAACCTTTCATTACTGAGGTGCGAGGTAAATGTGAATGGCGTTTTTATAGTGATGCATTTTCCGATCAAGCACCAGAAAATTTTTGTGCACTTCGACCATTTCTAGCTGCCCCTTTAGGCATTTATCAATACAATGAAATAAACTATTTAGTTTTAGAAAATATCGTTCAAAAATTTGTTCATCCATGTATTGCCGATATTAAAATTGGTCGAATTACATATGATTTTCAAGCAAGTAAAGAAGATATAGAGAAATGTCATCGTAGATATCCACCATTGAATGAAGTTGGTTTTCAATTACTTGGTTGGCAAAATTATAATTCAAGAAAAAATCTGTATGATTATCATGATAAAAATTGTGGTCGATCATTAACCAAAGAAGAAATTATTTATGCTATTGCTCATTTCTATGGTGCACCTAGATCTGATCATCGAAAAATTGTACGATTAGTACTCGAACGTTTAACTATCTTGGAACATATTATGACCAAACAACAAGGACTTGTTTTCATCTCATCATCTCTCTTGATTGTTTACGAAGGTGAAAATGATAACGAAATAAATTTATCATCTGAACCAAAATTTGATATTCGGGTGATCGATTTGTGTAAAGTTTTCAAAGTTGAACAATATGTTGATCAAACGGGACTAGATGATAATTTTCTTTATGGTTTACGTAGTTATATGAATTATCTACGAAGATTACTCGATGATACATTTGTTTATGTACCTATTGACAAACTTAATTGTATTAATCAATAGAAAAAAATCAATGTCCTAAAAATTTCCATCTCTTTTCTTTTTTCGTGATCTGATTTTTCATTGAATAGAAATAGCTGTAAAAGTAATAATAGAAAAGTGATTTGAAATCAGGATTTAGTATTTTATTCTATTATTTGTTTTAGATTAGACAAGGGTGTGGATGTGAGTCAAGAGAAGATCAATACCCACACACACACTCTAGTGAGTCTAGATTCGTCTTTTATTCACTCACAACCACCTTCACTCACACTCATATCTGCCCACGCTCACACCCGTTTTTTTTCGATTTCAATTAATCTTTGAAGTCATAATTAATATTGTTTAGCATATTTTTATTTGAATTTATTTGAAAATTTTATTAAAGAAACAAGAATTACGTATTATTTTGATGAAGTGACCATCTTGCTATTTTAATAAGCTAAACGTCGTACTCGACCTTCTAATTTGACAGCACAACTGCCACCACCTCCCCACCATGACTTGCCTGTAGCGATTGCTTCTAACATGGCTGTGTCTTTATTAGTTGCTACGTCCAAATTAACTATATGTTGATTTTGCTTTTCTTCTAATAAATTAATAAGTACCTTTGGTTCTTTAGCTGTTACAGCAGCATTTATTGCGGATTTATATTGATCGATTATGTCCTGTTTATATTTCAATAATGTACCTGATGCGTAACTGTCAGTATTCCATCCACATCGAAAATTATTTTCTGTTTCAACAACACGTATTTCTAATATTTCACCACCCACTGTAGCTTTACAACGTTGTTTGTCTTTTTTTTCTGACAAGCCAGTATTAGCAACACGAGCTTTGACTGAACATAATGTTATCCATTTATCATCATCTTTACCATTTGGAGGAAATTTTAAGCCAGCTTTGGTAAGATATTTTTGTGCTAGTATCTCATTTTTTGAGCTACTTGTAAGATGTTTACCATTCACATAATGATAACATAAGCAATTATAAATCACCAATAAACATGTAACAGCAATAAAAAATTTCATTGTTGTGCTCCTATATAATAAGATGAAAGTGTTATTGTGATATATGCTTTTTTCCGTCCGTATATATAGCTGTATAATCGAGGAAGTAATTCGTCGTATGTTCTAACCCGATCGCAAAGACCTTTCGAAATATAGATAAGAGCATGCAAGTTCCTTTATTGTGCAGCTAAAATATGAAGTATCTTATTACTAGTCAAGTTTTGATTCTTATCATTTTATTATTACGTGTAATGATTTATTTGTTTATTGAAAAACGTTATCGTATCATATTCCAGGGAAAAATAGTCGATTTTAGATTAGTTTCAATGACTCTCTCTTACATGTTTATTGATTCATTTATTCTAACAGGGGAAGTGGTAAGATCAGGGTGTGGGGTGGATGTGGAGTATAGATGAGGGAAAAGAGATGATCTACATCTATCCACATTCTCACTCACACCCATAAAATTCACTTTTTTGAATTACTCATATGATGATCATGTTTTTTTTCTTATTCATATTTTACAAAAGAAAAGATGGTTTCTTTTATTAGTTGGAAAGGGGGTGGTCGAAAAATTATGAATTTTTCCTCACTCTAGAAATGTCATAATACGGAAGTCCTTGTCACCCAGATCACGAATCTGACATCCATTTTTCAAGATCTGATCCCTTTCTTGCCGTGTTTGCCGTAGTGGGGTACCTAAGTCTCCGTAGGGTAGTTCCGTGAGGTTTCAAACACAAACAGATAAGTATTCAGAAAATTTCCTTTTCCCTCAAACTTTGTAGAGCTTTTTTCGCTGATTATTTTCGTATAAGAAAGTTTTGAATTCTATTGTGAAATGACGACGCTATCGTCAAAATAAAAAAAACATAGTAAAATACAGTAAAATAGTTTAAATTCCATTTTTTCTTATAAAACATTGAAAATGGTTGAAAAAAAAGGATTAGATCTAGACAAACGGATGTCAGATTCGTGATCTGGGTAACAAGGACTTTCGTATTATGACATTTCTAGAGTGAGGAAAAAGTCATCATTTTCGACCACCCCCTTTCCAATATAGCCACAGATAAACTATGAAGCGCACTACAACGCACTGAACCATCTGTATGTGTTCCCAACAATAGTGTTGCATACAGCATCACAAAAATATGTCTTGAGGGTAAGGCTGATGATAGAAATTAGATTGACGATAAGAGAATAACGCACCTTTATCCATACCCACACCCACTCTCAAGGCGTTAAAAAGACTTGGAAAGATAAAACTTCTCTTTCTTCGAAATATCGTAAGTGAACTAAGGTAAATATTTGCTTTTGCGATTATAATAAGGCAAAAAATAGCAAGTGTGCATTTTAAATCATTCTGTCTATTCACAAATACTGCAATGTGCATCTGTTTTTCTAAAATACGAAAAATAAGAATACATCTATTAAATCGAATCGTCTATAATTGCTGATTTCAACAACAATGTGTCCCTAAAACGTTTTGATTTTTACTGTGTCTTTCTTTATGTTAGCGGCGCATCATCGCCGTCATTGAACGATGATGGTATCCAAGTGCCCAAACAAATATGGGATGAGAAAACAAATCATACAGATATTATTCTGAAGAATTACTTCGAGTCGCTTCAATTTCGTTGTAACCCATTATGGATGTGGGTGTGGAGTGAGAGTGGGTGTGTGTGTGTGATAAAGCACACCGTAATCATGATTTTGATCTTGCTTAAGGGCCTCATGAGACGGCTTTAGTTGTATGTAAACTTTATTCTAATGATCCGAAGATCTTGAGGGTTGAATATGGGAGAGTGTAAGCAAAGAAAAGATGAATCTAGACTCACTCTCACATTCAAACCCGCCCTCAAGATGGTATTGGCAATAGAAAGACCAATGCTCATGCACGCACGCACACCCTTTTCCTTTAGAACGCCAACTGCTGAAATTACCGTTAGATAAAACATTAAAGATAATTATCACAGAACTTTGAATATAACTGAATGATATCATTTCGACACCATATTGTATTTGTTTTATCACTCTGTCGTTGGTCATACTTTATAAAATAATCATCTTTTACATCAGTACTTAATAGACAAATTTATTTTTTTATTACATTATTTGCTTTAATTCTCACTTATCAATTTTTTTTTTCATTATAAAAAAAATCAAACTTTACATTATCTATTTTACTAAGCAAAAAAAGTCAGTTTGAGAAGAAAATAAATATTGTTTTATAATGGATACCATGAAGCAGGTTTACATGATTCAATTCCAAAGACAAACCAAAAAAATGCATAACATATTAACATTATTAAATATAAAATATTCGATTGTTTAATCCATCTTGCTTGTAGAATAATTTCTTTTGCTTGTTTTCGTTTAGCATGTGGACCAGTTAAACGATATTGAGCATTTAATAATGATCCACACATTAATTTAATCCATAAATTTGGTTCTTGAAAAAATATTCTTGTTAAATCTGGTCGACATCCAATAGTTCTTGCTAAATTATCTGAATAAATTAAATAATCTGTTAAATTAGTCAATCGATCAATACGATAAGATGTTAATTGCCATTTTAAATATTTGACATAATTGTATATTTGTTTATTCATTTCTAATTTTGTTGGTAATTTTAATTTTTTTGAACATAATAAAGCAAACCAACGTGCTTGAAGTTCAGATAATGGTGGAATTGCACCTAATGCAGGACGAGCAAAACCAATCCAAATAATTTCATCTCCAAAATCAGGATGAAAACAATGTTTAAATAAATTATGAGAAATTTTTGCGTCATTAGCAAGACGTTTCATTTCGAAATTCGATTGAGAATTTTGTTCAAGAAATGGAAATAATATTTGAAAACCTGTACAACAAATAATTTCATCAACATATTCTTCAGAATTATCATCGAATATAATTGAATTTCTTTTTAATTCTTTTATACCAGATTTTCTCGAACATTTATCTTTATACTTAACTAATGCTTCGACTAGATTAGAATTTTTTGTTCCAAATGTTGTCCAAATATTACTTGTTTGAATTTGTTTTAGGTTCATATAGATTCCTGTTCTTCGTATTAAATTATATTCATCTAATTGATCTTCATTTTGATAAAAAAATGAATTAAAATACGATTTTATTAAACTATGAATCATATCGATATAAGTATGTAAAACACCCCATGCTCTTGGAATAGAATGATGAGCTCTTGATGTATCTAAATCAGCTGGTTCATCTCTGTTACCATGAATATATCGTGGAATAATAAATCCATGATCTTTTCTAATTGATAGAAAAGCTTGTTTTCCATATTGTGCAGCAGCTAATATCATATCACTTGCTGATTCTCCACTTCCTACAATACAAATATGTTTATTATGGAAATCTTCATAAAATTGAATATCTTTTAAATGTTTAATTTTTCCTTGAAATAAATGTTGATTATGAAATAATGGAATACTGGCATTTTCAAAAATTCCACAACAAATTGCAATACGATCAAATGAATAAATATGATTGAAATTATTTACACAAATTTTCCATTTATTATCTGAATAATCTTTCCATAAAGATTTAACTTCTGTTTGAAATTGAATAAATTCTTTTAAATGAAAATAATCAGCATAATCATTTAAATATTGACTATATTCAATAAAGGATAACATTCGAGGTTTATTAAGAATTTCTTTATCTTTTCCAACAAAATCACTAAACATAGTTAATAAATGACTTGATACAAGTATTCCTTGTTGATAAGCTTGTGTAAATAAACCACCAAGTAAATTAGATTTTTCAAAAACTGTACATCGATGACCTTCAGCTAATAATTCTTTCAATGTTACTAATCCACTTGGCCCACAACCAATTATTCCAACGTCAACTTGTATATAGTTATCACCCATTTGTTGTTTGATCTAAATAAAATTTTCTGATGAATTGACCATCTATCTTCGATTATTCCATAAGAAAATTGATATATATATAATATCATGAGAAAGGAGACAAGATAAAGAAAAGAAAGAGACAATGAATGAACATATGAAAGAAATAGACAATGATGTCACTATCGAACGAGATTTATATAAATAGGATGCAATCATTCACATTTTTCGATCTTAGCACACACGAAATGTTTTCGTTGTTCTCAAAACCGTTGTGAAATACTTGATAAGCATAATTTAAACGGCATGGATATAGATCTTGATATAGTGAATATAGTACTTTCGCCCTCATTCACAGTCATACTCGTTGAATAATTTCTCTTTTTCATTGCTTTCATCATTCTATTTATATACAATAAAATCGAATATGTATCGATGTGACCTAATGAACATATGGTATATTCTCTAATATCATGTAAATATTTTAATAATAATCATCAAGTTGAACTAGTTATACATTCTGAAAATATTGTTAATTGTAAGTAAATAAAATTGAATTTTTTTAAATTTTTTTCTTATATTCTACGAATATTATGAAGCAAAATCTAACACTTTATTTTATCTTTTTATTTCTTTAGTAATCTAATTTACTAATAAATATGACATATCATAAAACTATTTTATTAAATTTTAATCAGTTGAATTATACTTATATTTTTTCTTGATTAGAGAAATCTGAGAAAATATAGAGAAAGAAGATATTCATTGAGGCTTGATTATTTTTCAATATTTTTTATAAATCGTGTCATCATTATCATTATAAATATTTTTTAATACTTTTTTCACACATGTTTTTAGAGCTTTTTCATTCGATAAATAGATAATATAGCCTGTCTTTTATTTGCACTACAAGTTGTGGTGATCATGTCAAATAAAACTGATCCTAATTATTTCATATTTCTAAAACTTTTTATTGAATCTTTCTACGCTTGGATCAATGAAAATTTCTCAATCTTTCATTGTTGTTTTTTTTATGAAGAGTGGTCGGATTTCGGCATATATCTGAATATTCAATAAAATATGCACTCTTCTTTGCTATGATTATCTAATGTTAAAATGTAGAGAATTGTTGCTTGTAATTGTTGTTCACCTGAACAAAATTCTTTTATAATTTTACAATGATAAATATTTCCTGTCGATCCGATGCAGTCAGTTTATAATACCGGATTTTTTTTATATGATTTAGGCAGTGCAGTAGCATCCTGATCAATTCATAATGACAATTGAAATGAAGCTTCATGGTTTCTAACGGCGAAGACGATGCATTTTTGAAAGTTGAAAAAAATGTCGATTATTAAAACGAAAATCGAATATGTATTTATGTAGTGAAAGTGAATTGTACGCTGTTTTTATAACAAAGATGAGTATCAAATGTTGTGAAGTCATGTCAAAGGGTGTAGGTGGATGTAGGTGAAGAAAAGATGAATCTAGATTCACTCACACAATTACATCTACTACCACACCCACACCCTCAAGATGGTACATCTGATATGATTATAGATTTAGTTTTAGATTATCTCTTGTTGTTATTTACCGATATGTTCATCTATATCATTCATGAACTTACCTCAAACTCTTTTTCAAGCAAAATGTGGCCATAATCATACATGCTCAATCCGGTGGATACTATCAGAATAATTAAATATTATGAAAAACAACACTGTAAAACAAAGAGAACATTTGAAAGAATAGTTAAAGTTATCGTATTAGTTGTAACTTTTGTTAATCATAATAAATTAATTTATAAGAGTAAGAAAAACAAAGATATTTATTTTTATTTGAGGTGGAATATTAAAGTGTGTGATAATCTAGTAAAAATATGAAGGGAAACAGTTCGTGGACGTCATAAAATAAGAAGTCTTCTAGCTAAAATATTGTTTGGAATTTGAATCACTTGTAAGAAAAAGAGTAAGACAACTGAAAGTTAATTTGTTTCAAATAATTCATATAATTCTGCGCTATTTAAATTACCAATAACACTATTGTATCCCCCAGTAACTAATACTAATCCGTTTGATAATGTAGATCCTGTGTGCAAAGCTCGTCCATTATTCATGTTACTAGTAGTTGTCCAAGTACTTGTTGATGGATCATAGAGCTCAGCATTGCTTGAAAAAATATTGCCTGTACCACTAGTAACTAATACTTTTCCATTTAATAATACAGATGCTGTATGACCATTTAGTGCTTTAGTCATGCTACCAGTAGTTGTCCAAGTACC